CCCGCGGTGCAGAAACGTCTCGCTGCGGTTTCGGTCTGCGGTTCCCCGATGGCTGATGAAGCTGAGTGAGTCGGGGGGGCCCCACGGCGCCTCTTCCCACAGCTGACGGCGACACCCCTGCGGAGGGCGCCTGAGCCTGAGGATTTCAAGACGCAGACTCTGGCGCCCGGGGAGCCCAGCCCTGCAGACCCGGGGCGGGGGCGGGGTGTGGAAGAGCCAGGCAGCGTGGAGCAAGCTGGGCTCCAGCTCCTGCAGGTGGGCACTCCCCCCACCGGGCAGCGCTCCTCCCCTCCCCCGGGGCCCCGGGGCCCGTCCCCTCCCTGCTGCGGGGTGTTCCCAGGCTAGGCCTGTGTCCTTCCAGGAAACCCTCAGCTCCTGGCCCAGCTGGGGGCTCGAGGAAGACCCCCCGGGTGGGGCCGTGCCCCGGTGCCCTGTGCGTTAGGAGGCCTCCGCCTTCCCTTCTGCCGCGGAGCCTCGGGCCCCCTTCCCGGCCGTGCCTCAGTTTCTCCGGCTCCTCAATGCGCGGGTTTGAACTCAAAGCTCTAGCACAGGCCTTCCAGCTGGGAGCATCTCTCTTGGTTAAAACCATACAAACCATATAAACAAATTCTATGAGGTTCCAAAATCAGAGGACAAGCGCCTCGCTGCATGGTGCTCTGCACACCCCCTCCTGCAGTGAGTGTCCCGGGCTGACCCATGCTTCCCTTCCACTTCTGGTGTTTCCCGTGGCGCCGTGCAGCGCTCGTGCGGACCTTGTAAACGGCTGCGTACTATTCCATCCGGCAAGCCGGCCCCGACCCTCGGCCCTTCCCCCGCCGCTGGACCCGAAGCCTGCGTTCCGGTTCCTGGCGAACGGCACAGCAAGGGTGGCTGGGCGACTGCGTGCACGTCCCTCTCCTCCACGTATTTGGGACTATTTCTTTAGGATGCACTCCCAGAAGCAGAATTTCTGGGTTGCGGTCCACGAACGTTTCTGTTGTTTAATGGCTGATCTAAGTTTCCATTTCAGACTCATTATCCCAATTTATAAAGTCAACAGCAAAGCATGGGACGCGGCAGCCAGCTCACCCCCCAGTGCCGGCTCTGCTGTTCCAGAACGTTTTGATTTCATGGCTGGAAAGAGACCCCCCGTGGGTTTAGCGTGCGTGTGTGTGCGTCTCCTGGCAGCGGGGACAGCCCTCGGGTGGGGCCGCGTCTCGGGGGAGCCAGGCTCAAAAGAGGTTTTATTCTCTGCTCCTCGAGGAGACCGACCCTTGGAGGGAAGGTCTGCCCACCGTGGGAGAGCGCTGGGCAGGTGCCAGGGCCCCTGGGTTCCCGCCTCCCCTGGACCAGGCAGCCAGAGCCAGGTCCCCAAGAAAGTAGCTTGGCCCGGCCCCCTCCTCCCCAGGAAGGCGCATCCTTGGGATCACCAGCCGGATTCCCAGGGGACCCTCGGCCCCCTGGTACCTGGGCCTGCCGAGGCTCAGGGTGCTCCCTCCCTCTGGGGCCCTCCTGGGACCGCTACCCCCCGAGCCAGCCTCCATGCTCCCACTGCTCTGGGGGCCCAGTGGCGGCGCCTCGGACTGGCGTTCAGGGCCCTTCACGTGCCGGCCTCCAGGGACCTCCCTGTGTCCCCTCTGGGCCCTGGACCGGGCACCACTCTGCCTCTTGGCCCTTTTCTAAGCCGGACGCAGGTACCCTGGAGGGAAGGGAGCTGGCATGTTGCTTCCGGGGCTCAGGCACATGATGGCAGGCCTGTGGCGCCTCAGTTCCCCCATCTGCGAAATGGGACAGCGTCCCCTATGTGGCGGGACTCCTTCAGGATTTGCAGACATACTAGGCCAGGCTGGCGTTAGAAGGTTCAGGAGATGCTGACCGTCACTGCTGCTGTGGCGAGCGGGGCCCCAGAGTCGGGGGGGACGCACGGCAAGCGGGGCCTCAGAGTTGGGGGGGGGGAACGCACTGGGCAAGCCGGTCTGAGTGCTCCACCTGCAGGGAGGGCTCCCGTCACGGGAGGACGGAGGAGGGCCAGTGCCCTGCTGGCCTGAGTCTGAGGCCCGAGGGACGGGGTGGTCGCCTTGATCGTGACCCCTGGAGGGGGCAGCTCCGTCCAGCCCGTGCGTGGGATCGCTGCCGCCGGCCCTGCGGGAGGGGCGTGCTTCCAAGTTTCCAAGCTGGGCTTGTGCTATCAGAAGTTTCTCCAAAATACCCATTCGCTCTTGGCCGCGCAGCTGTTTTTCCTTAAAAAGAAAAACACAAATCAAACCCAAAACAACCAAGTGGGGCTTCAGTGGCGTGCTGGCCAGGCTGCTGTCGGAGAGCGAACAACGCGAACAGCTGTGCTGGCCAATTTCGGCTTAAAGGAGCTCTGGCCCTCCCTGCTGAAGTCGCTGTGTGGAGGGCCAAGCACTGTCCACCCACAGGCCCATCAGGCCCCCCTGAGGACAGAGGGGCAGCGGGGCCTCCCGCTTGGAGCCTTTGCACAGGCTGTTCCCTCTACCTCCGACACTGTTCCCTCGATGTCCTCCCTGCAGCTCCTCCTGTGGGGGCTGTTCCCACCCAACCCCCACTCCCTGCCTCTCACCCATCCGTGCGACGCATCTGCTTCCGTGTCACGGACGTGCTGTCTGTGGATGTGGGCTGGGCCACGGCTCCGTGGTTCTCCTCGGGGTCTCTGAGCCCCCTGCGCATACGACAAGCATCCGGTTACTGCTGGTTGCACGAAGGCCTTCGTGGATTGGGCACCTGCTGGTTCCTGGGGCACAACAGTGCATCACTTGGGCCTCTGCCCTCTGCGATCGCCTCTTTTTTTTTTTAATTTTTTTAAACGTTTATTTATTTTGGGGACAGAGAGAGACAGAGCATGAACGGGGGAGGGGCAGAGACAGAGGGAGACACAGAATCGGAAGCAGGCTTCAGGCTCTGAGCCATCAGCCCAGAGCCCGATGCAGGGCCCGAACCCACGAACCGCGAGATCGCGACCTGAGCCAAAGTCGGACGCCTAACCGACTGAGCCACCCAGGCGCCCCTGCGATCGCCTCTTTAAAGCTTCATGCAATTAGCAGGGAGGTAGGATGTCCTTGCGGAGCCCACGCTAATGCTGGTCATTGCAACACCCCGTTTCTGAATTGCACAGCCAGGCAGACTCAACCCAGCCTCACCTCCTCTAGGGAGCCCTCCTGAGCCCTTCCCCGTGCTTCCCTCCATCAGAGCCCCGCTCGGGCTGGCCACCCCCACCCTGCATCTGCCCGTTCTCTGACGGCTGTTCCGGGACGCGGGGCACAGGGAGCAAAGCAGGGAGCCCCTGCTCCTGTGGCCCGGACACCTGGGGGGAGAGGTAGATTCAAACAGGAAACAATAAGGAGAAACTGTTAATGAGTAAATACATAAAATGCCAGACAGCAGCACGTTCTGTGGGAAAAGTAAAGATGGGCAGGGGCAGGGGCAGGGGAGCAAGGGCAGAAGCAGGGAGACGGTCAGAGGCTCCCGCAGGGCCATCCCAGCTGCCGCTCGTGGCTCAGAGCAGCAGAGGTGGGGAGAAGGTTCTAGATCGTCTGCAGGTGGCACCTGTAGAACTTGCTGCTGGGTTGCACACACCATGCGAAGAGAAGGGAGTGACGGCCACGGTCCAGTCAAGTGGAAGGAGGGGCGGATAGTCCCCAGGATGGAGACCCCGGCGGTCAGTTTGGCTTTGAAGGTGGTGGGGAGGCAGGTGGGCAGGGCAGGCTACGGAGGGGCTTTGCCTGAGCCCTGCTCTGCCCTTCGTGAGCCTGGCCACCTGGAGCGAGTGACAGGCTCCCGAGTCCGGCTTCCCGGCTGTGCAAGGGAGACACGGCCCCGCCGGGCGGCTGTGGGAGAGCGGCCTGGCCTGCGCGGAGGAGCCCTCCGCCAAGGGGTCCAGGTGGCCGCCGTCCTCCCGAACGTGTGTCCTTCACCCCGTCCTGGGCCCCAGCTTCCTGGAGCCCCCGGGAGTCATTCGGGGCCCCAGCTCAGATGCCACGGGCCGACCTCGCACCTGCACATCCTCTCTGCCTCTGGCTTCGTGGGCGCAGCAGTTCCAGCCCCTCGTCCCCGAACCTGGGGACCCCTCCACGGGGACATATGTGGGTGGGGCCCTCGTCACTGCAAAGGTGGACCTGAGGAGGGGGTGCCCATGAGCGGGGGGGGTCTGTGAGGAGGGGTGCCCCGTAGACAGAGGGCAGGCCGGGAGGGACGTGCTGTGTCCACAGCGGCCTGGGACCCCTCCCGTGGGCAGAGCCCGAGGACGCGGCCCTCAGCGGCCAAACCCCGAGCCTGGCTTCACTTCTCGCCAAGGTCCTTCGCTCGGCTCTTTCTAGAAGACAAAATAAGCTGGTGGGAAACCAGCATCACTAGGCCTGGTGGCTAGTCTGGTGGGGGGGGGGTCCAGCGTCTCCACAGTCCGTGCCTGCCCCGCTGGGACCAGCCGGCCGCTGTGCACCATCAAGAGGGTCCCCTGGTCTCCTTCCCCCCACCGGGCCCTCGCCCCTGCCTGCTCCTTTCCCCCGTGGCCTTGGCCTGGGGTGTCCTCCGGGAAGCCTCCCCTGGGCCCCCCACCCCTGGCTCCTTCTCCCTCCAGCTGAGCCTGGCCTAGCACCCTGTTTTCTCTAATGTCTGCTCCACAAAGCTAGAGAGCTCACCCGGTAACAGGCTCCGTGGTAGGCAGCCAACAGAGAGCCGCGTGCCTCATCCCCAGGCGTTCTCTCGTTCATGGAAGGGGAAACCCAAAGCACAGAGAGGGCAGGTGCCTCGCCCAGGGTCACACAGCCGGCAGGGGTGGAGTTGGGGTTCAGACCGGCGCTGGGCTCCGGCGTCTGCCGCCTTCTGCCCTTGCTTGCCCTCAGCCCCGGGCACGGTTGGGTCTGCCCACGGCAGAGCGGGGGCTCCTAAGAGTATGCAAAATGCAGGAGCGCTCAGATACGATTCTCCCCACTTTCCAGGGGAGGAGACTGAGGCCCGGGCAGTTAGCGCGTACCTTGCGTGTCCTGAGAGGCTGCGTCCAGACTGGAGCCAGTGGTCCTCTGAGCCCCAGCTGGCCCGGCCCCGGGTTTGAGGCCAGAGAGTTGACGCGTGCGTGGGCTCACCCCAGGGCTCAGTCACTCCACCTCTCTGAACCTCACCTTTCTCAACCTTGGGCGATTGGGGTGGGGATTCAGTCCTACAAGCCAGAGTGCCCTGAACTTTAACCTCCCCGGTAACGGTTGAATGCAGATCCCGGGTCAGGGGGACTCACCTTACCGTCACGTCTCGTGGGGGGAACCAAAGCTGCCTGACGGCAGCCCACGCTGTAAGCAGCAAGGACGAGACCAAGCACCCAGAGGCCCCTGAGCCAGCCCTCCACCCGTGTCACTGCCCGGGGCGCCCGGGCACACGAGGCTAGGGGCAGATTTAGGGCTCAGCAAACTGAGTCCTTTGCGTTGGCCATGGAGCTCACGGGGAGACAGAGTGTTCACAGCTGTTGTCAGAACTGCAGAATTTGCCAGTAATTTGGAGAGAACTGGCCCGAGCGCAAGGGACAGCTGGGGCCCGTGAGCACGGATCCGTATCCCCTCTTCCCCGAGCGAGGAGTTGTTTGCTCTCGTGCTGGGGGCAGAGGCACCAGGCGTTATATTTTTCTCGGAATATAAATGAACCCTGGGCCTCACTCCTGTGACCCTCAAATGGGAAAAAAATCGCATCGGCCCTACATCTGGTGGCAGAATCAGAAGGACAAAGCTCCAGCATGGCACGAGGGCTGGCCACATGGGCCCATAGCACCGAGCACCAGCTGGTCCCCAGGCCTGGGCCCACTGCCCCCGCACTCAAGGGACTCCAGTCAGGATCTAGGAGGAGGCAAGCGCGAGGTGCCGGAACCTCCCCGTCCCCGTCCACACGGCCTCTGCTGCTGTGACTTTCCTGCGCATCTCAGGGCGTGAGGCCAAATGTCTTCCTCCCACACAGCACACGACACTGGGAAGGGGGACATGACCCCACACAGCGGGGACCCCCGGACCCGTCTATCTGCTGGACTCTGAAGTCTACACCCTCCACCAGGAGCCTGTGGCCCTGAGATCTCATGCTTCCCCCTCCCCCTGCCTCTCCGGCTGGGACGACTCCCCATCCCCCTCTGGGACACACGTCTCAGGCCACCGTCCGAGCTGTTCTTTTCCACGGCTCGCAGGACAGCTCTCCTTCTGTCTCATTTTACATCAAAGCTGTATGCGCTTGTGATCTAAGGAATTATATCATTCCCAAGGCTTGTTATGAACCCGCCCACTACACCAACTGTTCTTCCCCAGAGGCAACCACTTCCTTTTTCCTTTTGAAACTAATTCTTTGGGTGTTTATGTCTGTATTCCAAAATAGCCTTCTTGTGTTGCCGATTCTTGCTTTTTTCAGCTTGGTCAATAGTACTGACTTCCTTTATGGAGGAGAGGCACTAGCTTGCTCTCATCCCTACTCCCACCCCACACACGCCTTCTCATCATCCCTCCCGATCACAGAGAGTGTGGTGTGGAGTGGATTCATATGATCATGTGAATGTAACCCACAGCAGAGCCAGCAGAGCCAGGTCATATACGATGATCACTTTATCCACCTTACGTTTTTCCCTTATAGTTATCAATTGCTATGTTATTTTATCTGGTTTTCGTGTGTGTGTGTGTGTATGTGTGCTTATTCCTAACTCAACACCAAACTCTTTGTCTTGTCTAAATCTCCAGAGCTTTGGGGGCACCTGGGCGGCTCAGCTGGTTAAGCGTCCGACTCTTGATCTCAGCTCAGGTTTCGATCTCGGGGTCGTGGATTCACACCCCTCGCTGGGCTTTGCGCGGAGTGCGAAGGCTACTTAAACAATAAACAAGTAAGTGCCCAGAACTTTGGACACACCAGGTGTTCTGCATCTTGCTTGGTCTGAGTTGACTCCCTCGTGGGGCAGAGCTCACGCTCTGTTGGCTTTGGTGTCTGGCGGGGACCTGCTTCCTGGTTCACAGATGGCGCCTTCTGCTTATTTCTCACAAGACAGAGGGGGTAAGGGGGGGCACTCTGAGGTCTTTTTGGTAACAGCACTGATCTCATTCTTGGGATCTCATGACCCAAGCACCCGCCAAAGGCCTCCCCCTAACGCCGTCACATTGGGGGTTAGGGTTTCAACGTATGAACCTGGGGGTGGGGCTGCAGATATTCAGTCTATAGCACTGGGTAGAATTCTAGTCTGGAAATCATTTTCCTACAGAAGAAGCTGGGCAGGGGCCAACCGCGTAGGACTGGCTCCATCCCCTTCTTGTCAGTGTAGCCCTCGTCAAGTCCAAAGCCGTTCCCACTCCTAATTCCTTATAAGTGACCTTGCCCTCTTGTATTACCTCCTGAAGAATAAAAAATAAAAATAAGTTAACTGTCGAGCAGTCTCATTTGGCCCACACTCCTGTGTCCTTCAACTTAAAAAAACAACAAAACAAGAAAAGCCAGTCTCCGTCTCCTCTTGTGGTCACGGGAGCTGGACTGCAAATCCAGAAATAATCAAAGGAACAAATCGTGGCTGTGTTTTCCCCTCAAGCCCATCAAGTGTGGAGCTGCGGAACATAATGAAGACTGCCATCAGCTCACTGTTGTCAGAAATCTGGTCCGTTGGGTCTGCGTGCTGTGGGCGCTGGCCGTAGGACCCTGGGGAGTGAGCCTGGCACCGGTGGGCCCGCGGGGGGGAGCGGCCAGCACTGTCGTCCCCGCCCGGGACACCTGCACCTTTCTGGAACACACCTGGCTGCCCCTGCATCAGCCCCTTGGCGCTCTCCGTGGCCCTCCCTGCTGGTGACAGCCGACCTCCCAACTCGGGGTGGCCCCAGAGGCCCTCCCCCGCCCCGTGCCGTGGGCGATCCTGCGGGAGGGGAGCAGACTGTCCCCTCCTCCCACCTACCTCGCGTTTGAGTGTGATTATCTCACCTACAAGCACCGGTGGGAAGGATAAAATCACCGGGCTGCCTTCCCAGCTGTGCAGACCGAGGTCAAGGGCTCGGGCCTCTGGGCCTCAGTCTCCTCATCTGTAAAGCGGGGAGAAGAAAGCTACTTTGAAAATGAAAGCAGTTAACAAGATGCGGCTTGACAAATGCCTGGCACACAGTAGGTCTTCATGTTTGCCACAGAACAGTCTGCCAAAAAGCCGGGGGTCCTTGGTTGGCCCAAATGCTCGTGACAGACCCCAGAGGCTCTGACTGGAGAAGCCCCAGGCTTGTCTGACGTAAACCGCAGCCCCCTTGGCCCCGGCCCCGGAACCTGCAGCCTTCTGGGATTGGAGGGGCTCCCGCCAGGAAGGGCTGGGCCGCCAGCTCCCTCTGGTTCTCATTAGGACTCCTCACCCCCCCTCCCCTGCTGGGCCACATCCCTCCTCACAGTCGCCTTGGGACCCTCACGGCCCAAGTCCCTGCAGCTCGCCAGGGTCAAGCCAGAGGACTTGAACCTTCCAGAAAGGAGGTGGAATAGACCCCAGGCTGGGCCGGGGATGCTGAACCAGGTGGCCTGCGGGCCTCCGGACGTGGGTGAGGACGGGCTGGGCCGGGCAGACCCCGAGACAGAGGCAGAGACTGGGAGGCAGGATAAGGAGCCGGCCCTTACCTGAGGCTCTAGGGGACCCCAAAGGGTGTGCACTCCCTAGAGGTGGGGTTGAGCGAGCGGGTGATGTCAGGACAATTTCTGGGTGACCGGGGCGGGGCAGGTGGGGCTGATCGGGGGGATATCTAGGAGGTCACTAGGCACCTGGTCAGGCGCTGGGACAGGGCTCCCTGTGTCCCCAAGGCCTGCCGTGGTGCTCCGATCACCCTTTCCTGGGCCATGGCTCTTGGGTCTTTACCCTCAGGGTCCCCTTCCTGGGCAGGCCACTGGCGGTCCACGGGTCTAAATCACCAGGGCCTCGGGTACCGATGCCTTTGTGGGAGACTCGAGCAGATGTTCAGCAACCTCCGCCCTCTTCACCAACGCGCTTTTGTGGGTGGGTAGTTTCCCTCCGTGACAGCTCTGCCCGGCGTTCGGGCAGGTGGGGTGGGTGCTGGGTGGGTGGGGTGCCCACGGCTCTGGCCGGCCGGTCAGGGCCGGCACCTCCGGCGGGCAAGGGCACACACAGGCCCACAGGACCCTGCATATGTTCAGCCTTAAGTCCTTTTGGAGTCAGAAGGAAACGTGAAGATACGCATATGTAATATGAAGATATGAATATGTAATAAGAAATACGGCCTGGGCACATTCATCTTTGGACTAACATGGCTGTAAGATACGATTAAAAAACCTTTGTTTGGTGTATGTAACCTATTGTCACGTTGGCTAACATACGGCGTATGCATTGTGCTCTTGGCTTTGGGGCTAGATTCCCGTGATTCATCGCCCGTATACGACGCCCGGTGCTCGTCCCAGCACGTGCCCTCCTCGATGCCCATCACCCACTTTCCCCTGTCCTCTACCCCCCATCAACCCTCAGTTTGTTCTCTGTATTCAAGAGCCTCTTATGGTTGGCCTCCCTCTCTGGTGGCCTCTCACTTTTCCTTTGTTTCCCCTATGTTATCTGTTGAGTTTCTCAAATTCTACGGAGGACTGAAATCATATGATATGTCTTTCCCTGATGATATGATATTTACCTCTATCTGTCCCTTGCTCAGCCTAATACGCTCTAGTTCCATCTATGTTGTCGCAAATGGCAGGATTTCATCCTTTTTCATCTCCGAGTAGTATTCCATGGGGTGTGAATAGACCCCACCTCTTCTTTATCCATTCACCAGTCAGTGGACATTTGGGCTCTTTCCATAATCTGGCTGTGATTTGTGATGCAAATCTTCTGATTATGACTTTCGGGCGCAGAAGACCCTCACTGGGTTCGTTTGGACCCTCTCACGACAAGGCGTCGAAACGTGACTCAAACCAGCTTAATCTAAAAGGGCAGTTGCCTGACTCAGTGGCTGATATGGGCACAGCTTGTTCCGGGGCCTGGACAGAGTTGTCCGGGCCCAGGCCCCACCTGTGGCTCTTAGACCGGCTCTCTCCTCCCTCGGCGGCCCCCTGGTGCCAGCTCAGCCGGCAGCGTAAGGAACGCCCCTCCGTGACCCTGGGAGCTCCTGGCCGGTTAGCAGCAAGTGGGGGTTTCTGTCCCTGGGGACCTCCCAGTGACAGCGCTGGGCCGGTGCATGAGGCAGTGCTCTTGGGGGTGCAGACATCGGTCTTACCTGGGGGCCAGTCCCCCCACTTCCTTCCTTCTCTGCATGGTGCCAACCCCAGGTAAGCTTCAGGAGCCTTCCGAGGGCAGCCTCCTTTGGTTCTGACAGGTTTTCGGGTGGGAGGTGGCTGTGCCTGCCTTAGGCCACCAGGACAGGCTCCAGTGTCCTGGTCCAATGGACGTGGTGCTCCCCGGGGGGTCCGAGGCTCAGACGCTGCGCGTGTGGGACGTGGCGGGGGTCGGAGGCGGGAGGAGGCTCCTCGGTGAGCTGGCGGGGCACCGCCTGTGCTCAGTGGCCCGCATCTTCCCGGGGCTTGGAGGGCGCGAGGTGCATGTGAGCGCGTAGGTGTGAGTTCGGTCTGCTGTGAGCGCACGGTCACGGGCGCTGATGACCTCCTGTCTGTCCCCCGCATCCTCCCCCGCCCCCGGGGCTGCAGGCCAGCCCAGCCACGGGACGCGTCGCCGGCCACGCCTCGCTCCCCCTGAGCGTGAGTTCGTGGTGCCTTTAAAACAGGAGGCGTTGACACCTCTCTGAGCTGGTCCCCTTGGTGCCTGTGGGGAGACTGAGGCCTGTGGCCCGTGACCCTGCTTCACCTTCTGTGGCCTTCGGGGTCTCCCTGTCTGTGGGTCCGAGGCGGCTCGGACCTCACACCTATGCAGCTCGCCTCCCTCTGTGCCCTCCCGTGGGCCACAGGCCCGGGGACTTCTGTGCCCGGCTTGCTTGCGACCACGTGGCTCAGACCCTAAACGGCGCCCAGCTGCTCACAGGTGATGGGTGTCACGTCTTCGCCGTCGCAGCCTTTTGCAGCCTTGCCGGTCTGTGACCGAAGGCAGCCGTCTCTGCCCGGGGGGCCACCCATCTGCGGGACCGCGTGTGACCCTCCACGGGTGTCTCTGGCTGTAGGTGTTTGACCGTAAACAAGAGACGCCCTCTGTCCCTGTGACCTCATCTTTCCTTGGCTCTCCCAAGCTGTCCGTTGGCAGGACCCCAGGAGCGCAATCAGGGCCCGAGGACCTTCCATCGCTTTCCTCGGACCCCAGGGAAGAGGCTGGCTTGGGGTTCTCTCCTAGTACACGGGGTGGGGCTGCGGCCCTGGGAGGGGAAGGGGCTGGGCAGGGCTGCCCGGTGCCCCCCTCCCCGTCCCCACCGCTCGCCGTGCAGAGCGTCTCCCCGTAAGCCTGCCCTCCGCACCACTTGGCACCCGGTGTGCCCTCACCTCGTGGGCACCAGACCGGGGCCGGGCACAGACAGTACCTCATTCACCCAGGTCTGCCAGCTGCGGGACCACGGCTACGGCCAGGAGAGGGCACAGGAGGTCCTGAGTCCACCTCAGACATTCTAGAATGGTGATCTGCCACTCACACTGGGCAGAGAGGGGGAGGGGCTTCTGCCGGGAGGCAGGCGCTGTGCCAAGCACTTGACCACTGGACCTGGGCCGTCTCTGAGACCCTTCATGCTGACTCTGTGAGGTGGAGACTCGAGGACCCATTTGACAGACGAGATAGGCTGACCAACTCAGGGTCTCACAGGCAGGGGCGGGGGGATCGGGATGCCAGGCCACGCCCCTGTGGCTCCAAAGCAATGCCCCCCGGGTCACATGGACTTTCTAAGGACAGGAAGACCCGAAGACCCCCTGAAATCCCACCAATGAGACTCAGGCTGCGCAAAGCCTGGCAGAGCCTTTTGCGTGGTGATGAGGTCCAGAGGTGACCCCAGGGTCGAAGGTCTTCCGTGGTCCAGCGTCCACGGTCGAGGCCTGCACCCTGGGCGGGGCTGGGAGGGGAAAGAGGGGGCCAGGGTGCAGCCCGGGGGGAGGTACCCCCTCTCAGGAGGCAGCATGCGCTTGTGCGGCCCTACAAGGGGGCACCTCCCTAAGTGCTGTGTCCTGAGACCCCTCTCCACAGCCTGTCCCGGCCCTGATCAGCCACCTGTTTTTGGCAGAGGGGACAGAGCGGGCGAGGCAGAGGGAGACAGAGTGGGAAGGATTCAGGAGGCAAGGGCTATCAGAACGTGAGGGCCACCCTAGAGCTCCCCCGGCCTCGCACAGAGGGGTCTGGGCCGTGGTTGCAAGAGCGGTTCTCCCCAGAGGGCAGCATTGTTGTGACGTTGCCCGGTTTTGATTTCCGGTTAAACGCACTGTATTTCTTTCTGATCGTAAAAGTAGCATAGTCTCACCCGACACCATGGATTAGTGGGAGCCTGGGTGCTGGGGCCACATCGTGGACCCACCTGCGGTGTCAGGCTTTAGGCAAGTTATGTCTCAGTCTCCCCAGCCACACGCAGGGGCACGGGGCCGCCCTTGCCTTCTGCACGGTGACATTCCAAGATCCCAAGGTTCGGAGTTCCAGAATTCAGCATGTGGGGGTTTTTTTGGCAGGGGGTGCTATGGACTGAATGTCTGTGCTCCCCCCGAAATGGCATGGTGAAACCCTCACCTGCAGCGTGGAGGCAGGAGGAGGGGGGATGATGACCCTTGGGAGGTGATCAGTTTGTGAGAGCAGGGCCCCGTGACAGGATTAGTGTCCTTGCAGGAAGAGACGGAGGGGGTGATCTCTCTGGGCCACGTGAGGACGTGGCAAGGAGGTGGCCGTCTGCACACGGAGGAGAGAGGATCGTTCTGCCAGTGCCTTGATCGAGGCTTCCAGCCTCCAGAGCCGTGGGGAATGGATGTCCGTTGGCAAAGCCCCCAGACCCCGGGGTTCTCTCGCAGGAGCCCGAGCCGACCAGAAACCCACCCTCTCTTTCCCACCCTGCCCTCGGTTGGCCGGCCACCTGCTCCCTTCTGGCTTCCCGGGGGACACCAGCACCCAGGCGGGTCCCAGCGTGGGCGC